ATCTTCCCGACATATTGCGCCAGTCATTGACTGATTCGTTTGTTTTTGTATTGGTAGTGCTTGAAATTTAATAAACTATACATTGATTACTATTCATTCTTATATATATACTAGTTATTTGACAATTATTAATAACAAAAATAGAATTTAAAGAATGGTTTATTCTATAAATTAAATCTAAATACTCATTCAACTCTGTAATAGTTTTTCGATATTATTTTATAATTATTCTATATACAAAGTAACAAAAAGCCGCTGGATAGATTTTTCTGATGTGTACATTGCGAAAAGTGAGAGCCTCAAAAAGAATTCGCAGATGAAAGCTTTTGCCGCGATTTTGTCTGAGATTGAGAACATGAGAAGTCGTGCCGAAAAGGCGATGAACTTAAGCCTCCAAAAAGAGTTTGAAAATCCAAAGACGACTGGAGAGGCTGCTGGTGGGATTTCCCGCCTCCACCCCGAAAAAGTCTCGGAGTACTTTACGACCTTTGTCGAGAAAGTTTCGAAGAGTCTTTTGCGCACAAACGAAAAGATTTTTGAAAAGAAGACGGACACCAATATGAACTACAACACGTTCTTATCTGCGGCTGGAGTTGGGTTTACTGACGCTGTCAAAACTGTTTGTGAAGTCAACCAAAAAGCTTTTAAAGACAAATTCAGTGTTGACCAATCCTACTTTGACAACGCCATTGGTTGTGCAATCAACTTATTCTTTAAAAATTGCAACGACGTCATTTCGATAGCGTCTGGTGTTGTTAAGCCCGAATTAAAAGTTGTTGAGGTACTCAGAGGAGTCACCGACGCCTCGTCCAAAATTAAAGTGCTTTACATGTACGGAGATTATGCAAAATACACGGAGAATGCCGTGGAGAACGCCGCACGGTTTGCTGTTCATGAATTGTGTGTGAAAGCGGCAATCATTGCTGGTGGGATATTTGATGGAGTTGGTGTTGAGACGGAGATGTGTGTGATGAGAGGTTTTGTTGGGTTCACTGCGATGAGTGACAAACGGAATAGTCAAGTCTCAGAAGTGCAACGAATCATAAAAGAGCGGATTGAGGGGATTGCAGCCATCTCTGGTGTCAAAGAAGCAATTTCGTCGGCATTAAAAGAATGTGGAAATAACATTCTGGAGGTTTTCATGAAGAAAGCAAGAGATGTGTGCGACAAGAAACCGTTTGTATGTATCTCGGTAGGTGGTTGGATTGGTGTTGCGAAGATTCCCGACTTCATTGCAAGTTGTTTGAAGATCACAACTTTGAATCCCGAATTGAAAAAAGAATATGACGATTTGCCAAAGGAGTTAGTGAAGAAGTTTACTGACGTTGTTGGTGACGACATTCATAACAAATTCACAAATTTGCTGAGTATGAGTGATATTAATATTCCAAGCAACTTAATTGTGAGACAAGGGACTTTAGATGTTTCCACATTGATGGTTGGAATATCAAATATCTTGAAAGTGTACTTCCCAGAGAGTAATAGTCCAAGCGTGAAAAAAGAGGAAAAGAGTAAGGTGTTTTATTTTGATACGGACGATAAGGAAGGCGAGCTTGAATTGGAGCGATCAAGTATTGTCGAATGTTTGGTTGGAAAAGCAATGAAAAAGATGAAAAACGAATTGCCACTTTACACAACACCACCAGAAAACGGACTCACTTTAAAACAATTCCAGCAATACCATGTCGATTTAATGGTGTTTGCAACGACCATTTCTGATGTTCTTAAAATCAATAAGTTTGTTCTATTAGTTCTTACGAGTAAAATGAGTATTAATTTATAGTTCACGTATCGAAAGTTACATCACACAAATCAAACTCCGACTTGAATCGTGCTGTTCTGAAGGTGCTCTTGCTGCGGCCAATGAAGTTACATTAGTTAAGGAGGCGATGCTTAAGATTAACAATTAACTTTTGGTTATTTTTTTAATTCACAATTTTTGAATTATGGCTCAATGTTGCCAATCAATAATAAGAAAAATATTTAATTTCTAATGGTAACAATTGAAATTATTTTATCGATGATTTGAAGTGGATTTTAATAGCAAGTCAGACCATATGTTGTCGCAACTGTGATGATGAGAAAGAGTTTCGTTTTGATATTTTCACAGATTGAATCCCTCAACTTCAATTTCTTTTCTTTTCATATAGTTTGGTTCTATTATAAAATATTAAAAAATATTATACAAATTATTATTTAAAACAACACTTTTCATGAGTATTATTATAATAATAAAAATACTACAATAATTTTTAGTTTATTTTTTTAATTACACTTTTAAAAAGAAAAGTTAAAAATATAAATCAAATCAAATGCCACGTTTATTCCACAAATTAATTATTACCGAAATTCAATTAAAATTCACTTTAAAAAAGTGCAGAAAAGAAGACACTTAACAACAAAAAACGAAAAAAAAAAAGAAGTAGACAATAATTTTGAATTTTAGTAATAATAGAAATAAATAGTAACAAAACAATACTAGTAAAATAAACTTAAAAGAATAGTACATTGATTCCAGAATTGACAAGATAAACTTCACTGTTTATACACTTCGTTTTGGCATTGTTGAGAGATATTCTTGACTTTCTTATTATATTCCAAGTATGTTGCGAAACGTTTCGTTATTTTTTTCAAACACAAATTTTCCTCTATTTCTTCTGACTAACGTGATACACTCCATGTTTAATAGCGTTCCTTTCTGTAAAATGAACTCTTTATCCAATCTAACTTCTTTGTTATCATTTTGATATAAAATCGAATCAACAATATCAAAGGAGGCATCTCCCGACTTTTTGCGTGTCATTTTGAGGAACACATTTGTACCCAATTCCGTTAAGATGTCGATTAAGAAATGAAGTGTTTCGGGGATTCGCTCCTTCTTCATTTTCCTCGATGCCACTTCTTTCGTTCCGCCTTCTTGAATCTCTTTTGTCATTTTGATATTTAAGCGATCATCGATGATTCGATTCACTTCAATCTGATCACTCTCTGAAAACTTGATTGACTCAATCGGAACGAAAGGAAGTGCAGCATTGTTTAAACCTTGTGGCTGTAGTATTGTGACTTCAGCATATTTGTTGATCAGTGAGATTAAAACTACTTCTACACAAACATCATAATTCCGACGAACTGAGTAATTGGTCGTCTTCGGTGACTTGGCCATTGCAGAGTGGTAAGGCGGGTCGAGTTCTCCCCACATCTGATTTGTTTTTATATCATATTTCTATTTCTTTTTTTAAACACGCTCAGTGATGTTTGCAATCTTCAATGCATCAAAACGTAAATTTAAATAATGAGTTTTAATTCGTATAGTTTGGTATTAATTTTTTTATTATATTTTGATTGTTTATATTATAGCTTATTATATAATTTAATTGTTATAATTCAGAACAATTGTTTTGATTATTTTACTATAACTAATAACAAATAATAAATGATAAATAAAACTCAATGTTGAAAAGATTTTTTTCTATTTATTTATCACTGTTTTTAATTTTTATTCAGATTTTCATATGGTTGAAAATAATAACATTTTAAATAACATAATTATTTCAACTAATATTATTTCATAATTTGTTAGATGTAGTTATATTTCAAAAAAATAAAAAAAATGAATTTAATTATAATTTGTATAAAGAGAAAGGACGGACATGGGGACGAAGGACGGGAATATAGGCCGAAAGACGTCCTTTGTGGTTTAGGGATGTCCTCCCGCTATAAAGGGCGTCCTTTATGTGTATATGGTGTCCTTTC